CTGTTAGTATTTTCTTTGTTTTAACTCATTTTTATATTTATTGGGAACTATTTTGAAACCAAAGGGTATGGCGCAAATGCTTCAAAAGTGAGTAATGTTACCACTGTGGAAGGCAATGAAGCCAGATCAAATATGGATGTTACAGCTCCCTCAGAGGTAAACATGACTTTTAGATTTCAGTTTTTGTCTTTCCGGATGGACTCTGTACGGTATTGTCATTTTTCCTTCTGCATTGATAATTTGATATGATTTTATACCCCACATCGGGCATTGGGCTAATAGTGAGTTAGATGGGATTTTCCAACTTTCCTTAATTCCTTCAAACACACACACATTTTTTCTTGGTTATATAAAAACCTTGGCAGGGCGAGTTGTTAGGGTTTTAGTTATGGAGGGGTTTAAAATGGATTTTTGTAGCATAATTCATAATGATTAATTTTGTTTTTCCATTAATTTTAAAAGGGTAAATGTTATTATATATCAAACAAACCAAAAAAAAAAACAATAAAAAAAAAACGTAAGTCGTGTGTCTTTATGTGCAACAGGGTGGTGAACAATTTAGATTGAGCAAGCCAGCAGATGGAAATTTTGCAGAAAGGTCCAGACTTTCCAGATATAACGAGGATCCTGCTGATCCTTGTAAAAATGAGAAAGAGGAGGGTGAGTTGTATCCTAATTGTGATTCTGAAGATAATTTTGGTGCCTACCAAGACAGCATTCTGCAAGTCTTGCCTGAAAAAAAGCGTGGCAATGGAGTAAGCCAAGGTCAAACGGAGGATCACAAAGACAATGCTGATGACAGTGAAAATCCATCAGAAGCTGGAGGAGATGTTTCAGGCAGTGAGTCTGCTGCTGATGAGTGTTCGCGGGAAGATCCTGAGGAAGAAGAAGATGGCAAAGCTGAAAGTGAAGGTGAGGATTATGGTGGAGATGCTGCTGCTTTGGTGCCGCAATCTGAACGATTTATGCTGATGTGTAAGCCTCTATCAAAGCATGTGGCTTCTTCATTGATAGGCGATGAGAAGAAGGATCAACATGTTTTCTATGGAAACGACACATTTTATGTGCTTTTTAGGCTGCATCAGGTAAATTCATTAGTGTTGTTGTTTTGCTGTGTTGTGCTATTGTGGAATAAAATTTATCACTTCGTAACAGGGAAAGACATTCCAGTTCTATGTTCAGTTTTTTTCCCCTTATGGTAAATGATGTTTCTTTTCCATCAATTTCAGACACTTTATGAGAGAATACTATTTGCTAAAGCCAGTTCAGTATGTGGTGAATCCAAGTGGAGAAACACGGAAGATGCGACTCCCGATCCATATGTTAGGTGAAGTTTTGAGTCTTTAATTTACTTCCTGAAAACACTTTGAATGCTATATAGGCTCTTGATTGATTTTGCTTTTTGCATGATAATGTTTGCTGCAGATTCATGGGTGCACTATTCAGTTTACTTGATAGATCTTCTGACAATACAAAATTTGAAGACGATTGCCGTTCTTTGATTGGGAACCAGTCCTACGTGCTATTCACATTGGATAAGTTGATCTATAAGTTGGTTAAACAGGTAATGTTCCTAAAACATTAGTTTTCTGTTTTTCCTAGACTCGGTTTTAATCGACACTTTTTTCTGATTATCGTGTTTCCTTTGCAGCTTCAAACTGTTTCAAGTGATGAGGCTGAATGTAAGCTGGTTCAGTTGTATCAATATGAGAAATGTAGGAAGCCAGAGAAGTTTGTTGATTCAGTTTATTATGAAAATGTTTGTGCCCTTTTGCATGACGAGAATATATACCGGTTTGAACGTGTAGGTCCCATGTGAATGAGTTCTCTCTGTTTTCATGTTAATTTTTATATTCTTTATTCTGTTCTAGAATTATGCTTGGATGCTCAGTTCTATCTGTGCTTGGCGTAGATATCCAATCCGACTCAGTTTTCCATCCAATTGATGAATGATGAAGATGAGAAGTCTGAAGTTTTTGCAGTTTCAATAGATCTGAATTTCGCGACATATTTTCACGAAGAGTATCTTTCAGTGAACCATGGAAAGGAGGAGTCATCATTGAATATGCTGAAAAGGTATTGTTATGCTGAATAGTTTTACATTTTTCATTCAACGTGGTTTTATGGTACGAGTGATTGATATTCTGTGCGAATGTGAAAATATTAATGTTGGTAAAAGTCTAAGCTGCCCAACTAAATGCTTTGATTAGTGGAAGAATGGGGAGCAATTTTATGATGATTGGGTACTTTTGAATGTGTGTAAGCATAATTAGCTATCCTACCGTTTGATGTTCCTTGACAAGAACTAGTTAATTAAATATTCGGCTTAAGGAACAAAAAAACAAAAGATTTACCAATTCGTTTTCTGGTTTCTATTTCCAAATCATTGCTTTAAGTAAGTGATAATTATGGGTTTGATAAAATTGAGAAAATATTGCACTGAAAATGTTTCGTTTTCTGTTTTTACTTGTGCTGCATGCAGGAATCTACGCAAGTGTAGTAACATAGATGAACCCACTGCTCTGTATAGGGCAATGGAAAACGTTCTGATCATGAATGGGTTGGAATGTAAGATGGCGGCAAGCACATCAAAGGTATAATTTTCTTTCTTAAGTCTTTTTTTTTTTGTTTTTTTTTTTTNGGAATTCTAGTTGATGCCGAATTTTTTAATTCTTTCTACCCTCTCCTTGTGATGATTTACTAAGAATTTGGTGTGTACAATGTTCAATTTTTTTCCCCAAGTCTACAGATGTTTATTGATCTCATTAATTGATGTTACTTTCAGTCCATTTATTTTCATCATTTAGTTTAATTTGCTGAATAATGCAACACTTTTTTTTTTGGGTTGGTATCTTTTTTCCCTTACATGAAATAGCTGCCTGTTTTAAAAATACGTAGGACGAGTGTAGGACAACTATAGTCATAGTTTATTACTATGCAGACCTTTTATGTTGTTGGAATTTCAACTTCTTGTCACTTATTTGCTCTCTCAGATCACGTATGTTATCGACACGGAGGATTCATTTATTCGTTTAGGAAGGAAACTGGTTAGATCTTCTTCGCCCAATGACCAAACAAAAGTCCAACGGTTTCACAATTTTCTGGCAGCCTCTATTGGTGATTCAAAGGGAACCCCTTTGTGATGCTTTTGAGGTATATATATATATATATATATATATATAACTATTTATGCATTTCCCTTTTCCTTAAGAAAAAGCTCTTAAGATTTGGTTTCCAAATTAGACCCTCAATGAGGAAAAATAATTCTTATGGATGCACAGAATTTCATAAGACAATTAGATTTTTTATTTTTTATTTTTTATTTTTTGTAACTATATCAAACTTCTCGAGATCAATACTTGTTAAACAACGGTAAAACTAAAATGAGGCGTTAATATCTCATATATATGCTCCTTTTTTTGTTCTTGGCAGAAGTTGAGTCATGGATCTCGGCTCATACGAGAATTGTTCCTGCAATTTATTTAATTGCTAGAGACCAACGACTCGTTCGGTAATGATGATTTCTTCAAGATCGGGCGAGTGGCATTGGTATTTGTTTCTGTACATAGCAAGGTCTGGTCCGCGTGCTAGTAGCCATTTTTATGTGTTTTTCGTAGGGGTTTCAGACTGTTGTTATGTACACAATACAGATCAACATGGTGTAAGAAAAAGAGAAATGGGAGATGGGGGGAAATAGTATAAATGTATCAAACTTTTTGAACTTTGTGTTTTCTTGAATATATGTATATAGTTCACTTGCCAATGCATTAATAAGATAACTTTCTACTTTCTAGATCCCATTTACTTCTTCTTCTTCTTTTTATTATTTTAGAAGTTTCCTTTTGGAGTAGGAGCCAAGGATTGGAACAAGGATATAAATATGATTTTCCAGTCGTGGTTGCATAAGGATAATTAAAGTATAAGTCATGTCCAAAACACGACATAAACTAAGACAAAGTTGAACATTCATGTGGGAAACGAGTTCTGACTGATTTGTATTCAACTTCACCATTGATGGTCAACTTGCATTTACATCTAAAGTCTAAATTATGAATTATCAATTGTCAACAACTACATTTATTACCAAGGCATGAAGCAGAGCAATATTCAGGCTTATGTATACACAAACTCTCACACACATCCGTTGTTAGTATGTGTTGAAATGTTTCTAGAAGCAAAATCATATGATTCAATTACGATTTTTTATATTTTATTTAGCACTGTTTTTTGGGATGACACATACAAGGTGGAATTACAAAGAAATATAAATAAGAAAAGAAAAAGAGTCAGATCAGACTTATATCTCTCTCCCTCTTTCTGCTTCAGCTATAACAAACCAACAACACAACTTAGATGCAATCTGTTCTCCAAACCCCTAAGATGATGCCCCAGTAACATGCACCTGCCAAAAACAACATATTTTCTTCATTACCACTTTACACGAGTTTCTTCTAATTTTATCACCGAACATGCAATGATAGTACTATTNAAATTAGAAAAAAAAAAAAAAGATGATAAAATAATTTAACACTGACCAGAAGAGCAACTTGGCCAAGTAATCCCGAGAAGTACCAACGATGGCATCACCAAACTCATTATCCGCGTCTTTACAGTCTTGTATGCTGCTCGAAGCCAAATCCTCGTTATCAGATACAATCTCCTCTTTGAAAAATCTCATCAATATATTTCGAGCAAGTTGGTGGATAATATCTTCCACCTCAGGTGATGATGGTTTAGATAGCTCCATTACCTGAAAAGTTAAAATCAATCTCTTTAAGGATTATGATCAACCAATACAGGCACCTAAAAGGATATATCGATTACTATATCAGGTTATTATTATTACCATATCAGGCTCCAATGACCTCAGGTACTCCAGAAGATTGTTACTACTCTTCTTAATACGCTCCATCTGCAAATTTTCCTGTTTCTGGGCATGAAGCTCCTAAACAAACAATCAGTTACAATCAATAGAATATAATTTAAGGAGTTCCACCAGATACATGTGCAAGTAATAATGCTTGTTAATATGAAGTATCGAGTTGCTAAGCTGATTGAGCAAAATAATGATTTAAGCTAAAAGCTGATTGAAAACTTCAGGTCCAGGAAAGATAGTTAGCATCCAGACTAACATAGTAACCTAGTTAAGCTGATTGAGCAAAATAATGAGTTGTTAAGCTACATAACCACTTTTTTTTTTCCTTAATTTACACACTACTCGTCCCCAATCATTTGGAAAATTAATCGAAGGATCTTAGTAGAAATGGGTCGCATTGGAATCACTTAGCAACTTCAGTTTTAGCTAGAATAAAGAACACATGTGTCAACAACATATTATTGTTTCACTATCATATCTTGTAACCAGGCGATTCATACTATAGGTAGCCACCAGTGCTTTGCAAAAATAAACGAGTTCAAACAAAAACAAAATATCTAACAGAACCAAATTATCTCCCATTGTTAGCCTCACTAAGATTGGAAATCATAATGGATTCGCTCAACAAAGTGCATTTGATAAATTTCTGTCTCAAGCAAAAAGATAACTACCCATAACTCAGGCATTCAGTATGCTCGTCCACAGAAATTTCCAAATTCTCTTCATTTTTTGTGGAAGAAGATTTAAAGTTGCTAATATTCAAACCAAACATATAATAAAGGAACTAGCTAATTAGCTGTTACATTATAATCACAGAAATAAGCCTCAAGAAGAAAAATTCAGATGCCACCAATACTAAAAAACTCACCTGCTTAGTAGCCAACAACTCTGATTCTAATTTCTGTATATACTTTAAAGCTTCAGGTGACAAATCTCTCACATTTTGTAGATTCACTCTCTCCAATTCATCTGCACTCCCTTGAACACCACCACTAAGGCCTCTGTCATCTCCGCCACCATCACCGGCCTCCCACCTCACCTCCGAGGCCCCATCATTATCGACAAAATCGGAACTTTCGGAACTATCAGGCGACATATCAAAATTCCGCATCAAAGATATTCTATACTCGGCATTCCAAAGTGTGTATCTATAAAACAGAGAGCCCAATTGAGTAATTGAAGTCAGTAACCAGTAAAATTCTGCAAAATCGATAAACAAGAACCACACAAATTCAATCAACGCCGAGCAACAAAATATCGTGAAATTACCCAGTGACTATGGAGGAGACTAAGAGATGATCGAGGGGCTGTTTTGAAACCCTAACGGTGACAGAAAACTGATCGGACGGAAGAAGCCCGAGCATAGTTGAAATCGTCTGCTTCATGGAGTCCTTAGCCGAATCCGAGATCCCCTTGGAGATAATTGAATTGTCGAGGGGCTCGATTCTCTTCAGCATGTTCGCTATGACGGAGAATTCACGGCTGAAGCCGGATTTTCTGGTGGAAACGAACTCGTCGGAGACCCCGCCACCGTCGACGCCGGAAATCAGGCAGCTGATTGCGGCGGCCCGCTTCTTGGGGGCCGCGGCGGCGGCGGCGGCGAGCAAGGGGCGTATGAGGAGGTGGTGGATGGGAGGGGACAGGGACGGCCGGGATGTCGTTCTGAGGGAAAAATCGGCGGCGGTTGAGATGAGCACGGCCCTCGCCGCAGCTGAGACAGCCATTGATGGGCTGGTTGTAGGGGATTCGCTCTGCTTTACCTTGTAACCTGCGTCGTGAGTCTCAGCCTAAGCGATATCTTTGTTGGTGATGATGATTTTGTTGGGTGGTGGGATTTGGTGAATGGCCTTCTCATTTGCGCCTAATTTCGGATTTACCATTGAAAGTCACTATGTAAATCAACATTCTTTGACCATGAGTAACTATGAACAAGTTGAACCAAAACTTTGGTAAAAGTGAGTTTTATTTATAAAAAATAATGAAATGAGCTCGATCTTCAATCAGTCGATTTGAAGTAACAAATTTTGAAAAATTTCTTACTTTTTGAATCCAACGAATTTAGCCACTCAGCAAGTTAATAAATCAAACTCAAGGTCAACTTTTTTGAGTCGAGCTCAAATTTTAACGAGTCGGGTCGAGACGAGTTGAGAGTTTGATGATGATGATTTTGTTGGGTGGTGAGGTTTGGTGGATGACTTTCTCATTGCGCCTAATTACGAATTCATCATTGAAGTCGGTGAAGTTAAGGTCAAAATAAGATTTTTGAGCGCGAGTAAATCAATAAACGGATCAAACATAACTTATAAATAATTAACTTGGTAAAAATGATGCGAACTTTGTTCGTTTATAAAAATTAATGAATTGAGCTCAATATTCAACAAGTCGAACTAAATTCATAGTTCAATATTTTTTTTTATCAAATTCCTTATTTCTTGAACCTAGCGAGTTTAGCCACTCAAAGAGTTATTAACTTAAACTCATGCTTGACTTGTTTGAGTCGAGCTCAAATCTTAATTGATTGAGTTGAGCTGAGTTGAGAATTTGGTGATGATGATTTTGTTGGGTGGAGAGGTTTGGTGAATGACTTTTTCATTATGCCTAATTATGGATTCGCCATTATATTTAGCTCAAGTCCTAAGCTATATCTTTGTTGGTGATGATGGTTTTATTGGGTGGTGAGGTTTGGAGAATGACCTTCTCATTGCGCTTAATTGAGGAGCAACTTAGTTCCAGATAAGTCGAGCTAATAACACAATTAGGTTATCTAATTAGGTAGACTATCTGAACGCACCATAGATAAGAAAAAAATAATTAAGATAAGAATGACACGTTGATAGGACCACGTGAGCTGACATAATTGGACAGTTTGAGCACTTGGATAGTACAAATGAGTAGCATGGGCATTGGGCAACCCACTCGGACAGTCTTGGCCAACAAGATAAGACTTCAATATAAAAGGGTAAGGTATATTAATTTACATTCTACACTCTACACACTTTTTTATACATACAATTATGCGCAATTCATATTGTTCATTGTTTTATCCATTACTGATTACTGATTTAAGCATCGGAACTTCTACGTCGGACAACCCATGGCGCTGTTTTGCAGGTCATTTACTAGCTCGTGGGTCGATTTAAAGTCGTTCAACCGGGTCGAGACCGTTTACAATACTACCTGCCGACATGGTATAAAATTAAAACTCAATGATTAATACATATTTACCAAAAAAATACTTTCACTTCATTTCACACATCTACATACCAATTATTATTAATTCATATTATATTATTTTTAGATAATCATTGCATTTTTATTATCATATATTCATTCAAAATTTTAATTTAATCTACTTTTTCTAACCTTTTTCTTCATATTCATTTATAATTTTAATATTATCTCCTTTTTTTCCCTATTTTGTTCACTTTTTTATCTGTTTTTTCAGATTTTTTTTTTATATATAAATCTCATTTTTTAAAAAAAAAATGAGAGTGAATCCCGTTGCATGCTCTCTGTTGGACCCAAGAACATTGTGGGCCTGTTGGACCCTGGCCTTCGCGTTCACGGGCCCATTGCATTGATTACCAACCATCAGTTTGTAGTACTATGATTTTAGAGATAATTACCCTCTGTACGATCCCATAATTCAATATGTCCCACTTAACGAGCTCAATAACTTTTTCGCACATCAGGTCTCCTTAAGTCAAAATTATGAATTTCAACATTCCACTTTTCTGCCTCTAATGACCTTGAATTAATAATTAATTGTCTGAATATATCTTCCCCCAAAACACGCAACAAACCTACACACACGCATATTGAACAAAGCAAAAATTGGAGTGGGCGAATTTTCTTCATGGTCATCACTATCGCACCAACAAATCCACAAATCCACGAGAGCTTCATCCCTGTCCGACTCCTTTCTCCCGCCGTCGGCGCCACCTCACCGCCTTGAGTCTAATCTAAAAGTTGTGCTTTCGAGATATAATAGAAAAGGTGTGTGTTACTAAATTATCTGAATTCAAAGATGTGATTTACTGATTTAGGGTTTAGCAAATTTTTTATTTTTTTTTTTCTTTGTTATTATGGAAGTTTTATAGGTTGCTCTTAGATCTATAATTTACTGTATTCGGGTTTAGAAAAATGTATTACGTTTATTTTCCTAACCTATTTTGAGAAATTGAAAGATATTTTATTGTGTAAAAACATGACTTTTTTTGTGTTATGTTTGAGGTTATGTGTCTTTGAGTTTTCTTATCATCTAATTAATTATTTCTGCGTATCTATAGGGAAGAGATCAAGGACTGGATATTGGTGCCTTTTATGAGGTCATGTGCGAATCCAAAGAATAATAATGCATCCTCTCTGTTTGGATTTATTTTTAATTTCTTCTCAAATTTCTTTTGATATTTGAAAAAGTGTATAAACTTGATGTAAACGTGGGAGAGACATGTTTGAACATTCGGGATTTGATGTTAGTATGTGATATATTTTTGAACACTTTTAAGAGTTAAATTGATGGTGATTTTATAATGGTTATTGATTTTTTTTTTAATAGTTATGTATATTGATGGGTTTTGTTTCATTTTTATTAGTAATTCTGTTGTGTTTTATATTTTTATTTCGTAAATAAATGTTTGGTTTTCGTGTGTATAAGAGTATTGATGTTATAAACAATGAAAATAAATTGCATATAAATTTAGAGTCTGTATTCTTGTATAATAAACTAAAAATAAATTATATATAAATTTATAGTTGTTAATCTTTTATTGGTTTGTAAACATATAGTAAACTAAAAATAAACAAAATATAAACTTACAATAAAAAAATAATTGGTTTATAAACCTAATATAATCTAAAAATAAACTAAATATAAACTTACAAAAAAGAAAAAAAAAACTGGTTTATAAACCTAACATAATCTAAAAATAAAGTAAATATAAATTTACAATTAAAAATATTAGTAATTTGGCACTAAAAAGNCTTTTTTTTTTTTTTTTTAAAAAAAAAAAACCTTCCTTGTTAAACCTTTACGGGGCGTGCTTTGCGGTAATATCGATGAGGTAGGATAACTGATTCACATGCCTTTTGCATTAAAGATTCGTTCTGTTGGAATTTATTTTTATGGGAACACAATTGTATGAAAAATATTTTTGTCTCGTAGATAAGGCAATCTGTAAATTTCAACTCGTTTGTGCGTCTTTTGGCCATGATTTTATCGCCGTCATTTAATTCAGACCATTGAAATTGTGCCGCAACTGAATATCTATCAATCCTTAATAATTTTGGCAATAAATAGTTTTGGGCAAAAATCAAAATGCGCCAAGACCTTCGGTCGCCATTGCCAATTTGGCTTTCGGCAGTTATCTATATATATATAATTACTAGCTCAAAACATTTAATAAAACCTATTTAATTTTACCTATGTGGCAATTTAACAATTTTTCCCTCCAAAAACCGTTACATTTTGATGTATTTAATCTTTCATTTAATCATTAAATAATTAATACTCATCACTTCAAAATTACAAAAATTATTTTAAATTTTTTATTAATGATAGTTGACCATATAATGTGTTGACCGTATAATGTGATTAGATGTTATTATTGTTGTTACATTTAATTTTTTTTTACAAATAAAAGACGTACCAAAATATACATTACATCTAATTTGATAAACGCAATTTAAAAAAAAAAATATTCCAACTCTTTTAATTGTAAATTTGGTCTGCAAAAAAGTGAAAGAAAAATAATTAATCATTATATGCATACAGACTCACAATAATTTATTTATATCTGTGTAAATGCACAGGTCGAATACTAGTGTGTGTAATTTTGATTCTCAAAGCTCGAAAATAAAACTTATAATATAAACATAATTTCTACATAAATTATGAACTGGCCTATTGGTTTGATCGCATTTATTGTCAAAATATCATTTATATATATATATATATATATATTTATTTATTTATTTAAATTATAACATTCTATTGTGAAATGCTTATTGATTAAGAATGTGTTAAGTAAGTAGTATAAATTAGTTTATATCTTATTAAGTTTGCTACAAGCTCCATGTATTAGAATATAAGTTTGATTGGTATTATATTTTTTTAATACTTTTTTAATAAAACTTGAGTTTATGTCATATATTATTCAATATGTAGCGCTTTTAAAAAGTATATTGAGATTTTATTTCATGTAATTTATCGATTAATTTTAATAAACACTTTTATTACACGATCTTGCTTTTCAATCACTAATTATAAACTAGTAGTGATTTAGTTTTTCGTTCGAAATCTATCATTATATAAAAAGAATAACCTTTTTACAAATATAGAAATATTTTCCCGCCAAAATCATTAAATATATCCTATATATAGTAATTGTTGGACAAATCTGAATAGGCAAAAAAATCGGTTCATTAATTGTGTAAAGATTTGTTTCTCTTTTGCAAAAAAAAAGGGTTTAAGATTTGTTTCTCTTTTTCTTGTTTTTTAGTTTATCAAAATCGTTGTTTGACAATAAATATTTATTTTTCTTTTTCTATTTTTAGTATAAATCTACACTAGCTTATCTCTTCTGTTACAAAATCCCATTGCATACAAATCTCATCCCTTATCTATACAGATTTGAAAAAATAAAATAAAATAGAAACCAATTCATAATTACTACTAGAAATCCATTATCTACTTTAATAAGCTAATTTTCATCGGTCTAATTACTAATACTTTTACAAATATTATAAGTTAATCATACAAAAAAGTATAATAATAATTTTAAAATGGTGTGTAATCAAATTTTTTTATATTCTCTTATACAAAATAATTTTACATTGTTTGACCCCGAATCTATAATTTATAATTATTAAGTATTGTTTATCCTCCTCTTTAATTTATAATTA